TCACGGACAATAAAGAGAGACTCCTGGATGAAGAACCTTGGTGTCCTGTGTTTTCTTTAACCTCATCGTCCCTCGCCGGACTCGGCTCCGATTAGCGGGACGCGGCATCTGGCTAGTCTTTCAGGATTCTACCATCTAGTCTCTAGATAAGGAAATTCACCTATGTCTCCTACTCAGAGCAAATTATGCTTTCTACTGTCTAAAAGGAAACTCACTTAAAACCTTTTAGCAAGTTTCTTCAAAGAACTTTTCCGAAATTTGATTTGCAAGAAATTTCCTCTTCCTGCCTCCCAGGATGTCTCAGGTAGAAAAAAACCATCAAGTAATAGATAAGGTTTAAGGGACTTTATTTTCATCAATCTTCACTATAGTAATATTAGTCTTAAACTTTGTGCACCTCTGTACCTGTTTTTTAACCTTGATTGATTTTAGAAAGTTATAATCTCAAGTAAAGGTTAAAAAGACCCCAGACTATTCTTAGAAAAAAGCTGATTGTGATCTCAACCCCTTTCATATGCTAATGTAACCCCCCCTGCCCGCTTAAAATGTATAAAATAAACCTCTGCCGAAGGCAGAGCAGGAAGATTTGTACCCAACTCCTACTCCCGTGTCTTCCTCACGCACGCTCCCCTTTATTCCCCAATTTTTGGAATATCGCCTCGCAGATGTCGTTCCCACCTTGAGACCCTGCCTGTGTCAGCCTCTCAACAACCTGAAATCGGGTTGGTCCCCGACAGTGATGTACATAGTTTGTTAATACAGTCTTTGCTATGTTGGGTTTATAAACTGTTCTAAAACTTTCATCCTTTTGCCAAAGTGGTAAAGTATGTTATTGGTAAATCATCATTTAGTGATGACTAGTGATGTTCTTTACAACCTTCACCATGTTTAACACTACTTATGAGTTTAATGCTACAAGTGGTTTCGAACAAACCATCTCTGTGCGTGCAAACACCACTGGCTCCTTTTTGAGACTGGGGGCACACCTTAAGTCCCCGTTCCTTTTCATCCGGTTTAATGAAAGTGACGCTAGCGTCAACTGTTCCCGACTAAGATGCTTATTTGCTTCATGCTGGTTCCATGAGACCTTTGCCCTCGTTGTGCAGTTACCAGGAATTGTCCCTATGCCGCTGAGCACCCCTTTGGAGTTTCCTGCCACCCTCATATGTCAAAAGAGAGATTTTGGAATCCCAGCCGGCATCGTAGCTGCCGTCACTATTGGGCCACTGCTACTGCAGCCACCCTGGCGCTCACTGCTGCTGCTGCCGCTACCACAGACACACTGTCCTCCCAGGTTGCTGCTGCGCTAGAGACTCAGAATCATGTAAATGAACATATATGCTCTGGTGTGCTGTTGCTCAATCAACAGATTAGCCTTATGCAGGAAGAAATGTATCCAGGAACCCACACTGGCTCCTCCATTTACCCCCACCTTTCACCCTTTGAAGCTGCACAGAAATCAGGTGGAGGCTTCTTAAGAGAAGTCACACAGGTTGATCTCTGCTCAGAAGGTCCTGTCACCCCCACCTCACACAGAGAGTCACACCTAGCACCCTCGAGGCCTCAGTGACCTGGGAGCACACAGATCCCAGCTCAACACCCTCTGGCCCAGCAGCTGCCTTACTCACCTCAGCCCCACGACACATTTCTGCTTGGGCATCTGTCCTGGAGTTTGTCCTGCTGGACAGACTTCCCCGCAAATCATGTGGGGACAGTGACAGATGTTCCTGCTGCTCAGGAGACACCCAGAGGACATAAGGCCCAGCCTGAGACATAGAAGAGAACAGTCATAAAGCAATAAAAACCAAAATAAAATATAGACACAGGGAATGTGATAATGAGGCCCTACCCTGGCCTGAACCCTGGCTTACCCGGCCACTCGCAGGACAGGCCCTGGTGGTGTTTGCATCCCGTGACCACAGGCCCTGCTGGGACAGGGACAAAGGAGCAGTGACCACATCACAGCCCATGATGCCCTGAGCACCAGTTGGACAAGCCCTGTCCACACTGCCTCTCCCACCCCCACCTGCAGACTCAGCACAGAAAATATACAGTTCTGGCCTGTCCTCATTTATTATAAATAAATAAAATTTATTCTCAAATTTTAGCAATCTTTCTAACTAACACATCACTTCCATGTGACAAGATAAGAAAAATAATTCCCTACCTGGATTATCATTTTCAACGGGGAGGTGGACACTACTCCTCAGGAAAACACAAAATCCAGGCAGGATGGAGCTCTGCTGGAGCAGGACAGTCATCAGAACAGAACACAAGTCAATGTGGGGAGGGGGACGTACTGGCCAGGGGTAGGTTAGGCTCCCACCACCTCAAAATATCTAATAAAGACATAAACCCATGCAGATAGCCTTTGCAGTGGATGTTGAGGCCACAAAGTTAAGATGAGAAGAAATCCCACATCACTCAGCCCCCGCAGGCAGCTGCCTCACACTGTGAAGGAAAATAATCAGGAACAAAGTCAGGGAATCACATCAGGTCCAACATTTTCCACAGCCCACTTGTCCTTAGAATGTCCCCTCACAGTTCCCCATAGCCTGGTCCCTCCTCTCTGCCCCAGCCCCTCCCACGCAGGTCTCACCTTAAGGGGCTGAAAGGCACATCAGGGCCCTGGGCACTGTCACTGCCTGTGGGAGAACAACACAGACCTGGTCAGAGCCATGAGAGAGATCACAGGAGGGACTGATAAGGTGACTCCCCCAAGGACTCCATCTACATTGTCCTAGGAGCTCAGGGACCAAACCCCGGATCCACACTTAACTGCTCCTGAGTGTAGCCTCCTGCTTGTCCTTCTGAGGGAAATGACATCATGTGAGGCCAGGGAGAGTCAGGCCATTAAGTCCCAAAGGAACCTCCAAGCTGGGCCACAGGGAAGTTTCTAGAACTGTGACTGATGACCCAGGTCATGACAGGGAAATATGAAGAATGGATATGAAAGGGAACTGGAGTCTCTCCTTAGCAGGGTCCTTCCTCTAAAACATTTGCTGGGAAACAGATCCCCATCACCAGAATAATGAGGTGGAAAACTGGTGATTCATTTTCATAAGTGATTTACAAATGAGTGAGGGTCAGCAATCAGCTCTAGACTGGGTAACAGATGTGTGGATGATACATCCTACTAACCAGGTGGGGCAAATTCTCCCTGGGACTTGAAAGAATCCCCTCACGCCTTTCCCTACCTGAGCGCTTCTTCTTCCACATCACAGCTGCAGCCACTGCAGCCACAGTGAGCACAGCTCCAAGGAGAACCAGGCCAGCAATGAGGCCCCCAGTGGGGGTGGAGGACTGAGGAGGGGGCTCTGGAAGGGAAGGAGAGGGGAGACTCTGAGCCCCAGGCCACATTCTGACCCTCTGAAGGTCCACAGAAGGGCTCCTGATCCCCCTGAGAAGAGCCTCTGTGCCCACGTCCCCGTCCTCACCCCATCTCAGGATTCGGGGCTCCGGCAGCCCCTCATGCTGCACATGGCACGTGTATCTCTGCTCCTCTCCAGAAGGCACCACCACAGCTGCCCACTTCTGGAAGGTTCCATTGCCCCCAGGCCTGGTGTCCACCAGCTGCATGTCCTGGGTCAGGTTCGCCCCATCTCGCTGCCAGGTCAGGGTGATCTCCGCAGGGTAGAAGCCCAGGGCCCAGCACTTCAGGGTGACATTTTGGTTAGAGGTGTGGTGGCAGGTTACCTGTGTCTCTGGGGGAACTGAGAAGGGCATGAACATTCACACTTTGGATTTTTCCCTCATGGACCCTGAAAAACCTCCTGTGACTATACTCAGAAGGACAGGGCAGTGAGTTTGGATACAGAAAGTGCAGTCTAGAAATCAGCCTGTTCTGTGCAGTCTGGAATATTCTCTTATTCCTTAGAAAATTCCAGAATTAGGGCGACAGCTCTGCATATGGGGATGCAGATGTCTGAGGAGGAGACCACAGGCTTTTGCTCCTGACCTAGGGATTCATAAAATCAGGAGTTAATTCAGAAAAAATGTCCATAACCAATAACAAGACCTTGAGAGAGAAACAGGGTTACCAGGATGGCTGCCAGATCAAAAGATCCGGTGCAGGGTGATCTCAGGGCTGGTCCACCCTCAGCTCAGAAGAAAAGTAGGGTCCCTTGGGCCATTCGGGAAACCCAGTGTGCTTCTCCTTCCCTAACCCGAGGGGGGCGCTGCTGTGTCCCTGACTCCACTCTCCTCCGGGGTGCCGGCCTGAGCGAGATGGGGAGACCTCTCAGCCCTCTCACCTGCGTACTGCAGCGTCTCCCTCCCGTGCTCAAGGTATTTACGCAGCCAGTTCACGCAGTCCACCTCCAGGTAGTTCCTGTAGTGCTCCGCTATTCCACTCGCCTCCCACCTGCGCATGGTGATCTGAGCCGCCAGGTCCACCGCGGTCCAGGAGCGCAGGTCCCGGTTCAGGGCGATGTAGTCGGCGCCGTCGTAGGCGTACTGAGTGTACCCGCGGAGGAGGCGCCCGTCGGGCCCCACGTCGCAGCCGTACATCTTCTGGAGGGTGTGAGACCCTGTCCCCGCTCCTGGTCAGACCCACTGTCTTCCCGCAACCGCCCTCCCTCCGGGAATAAACGGGGACTGACACGGACACCTGGGGTGAAGGTCCCGCGGGCTCCTTCAGGGTCGGGGGTCAGGGCGGCTCCACCTGCCTCGGGTGACTCTCGGGCCGGGGTCTAGGGTTCCCGCCCGTCGGTGGGGTGGGGGTGACCTGGCCCCACCGCCTGCTCACCCTCCTCGCTCTGGTTGTGGTAGCGGCACAGGTTGCTCAGGCTGTCTCCGTACACCGGTATGTTGTTCCTGAGGATCCGCGTCTCCTCCTCTCAGTACTCAGGCCCCAACTGCTCTGCCCAGGGCGCCCGCGGCTCCGCGCTCCGACCCGGAGAGTTGCTGTCGAACCGCAGGAACTCCGTGTCGTCCACGTAGCCCACGGCTATGTAGTGGGGCTCCCTGAGGCTGGGCCGGGACATCGCGGTGTAGACATAGCTCAGGGAGTGGGAGCCTGGGGATGAGAGGGCTGACACTCCTTCTTGCTCGGATCCCTGGAAGATGAGCTCTGAGGGGAGGAAGAGAGGGGCTGTTGAGAGAGGGGTGGTGGGACTAGAAACTTTGAGACTCAGGGGGTGAAAGGAGGGAGGTTGGAGGAAGGGGCCAGGACAGGGTGGGGTCAAGGAGGATACAGGGCCAGTGGTGGCTTGGCAGACAGGCACCTTTCCAGGGGTCCTTGGGAGGGGGAGTAAGGGCTGGCAGTGGAAAGGGGTCCTACCCCACCAGGGGTTCCTCAAGTTCCTCCCTCCTCAGAGGCCTTTTCCCTCCCCAGCCTGCACTCACCCTCCCAGATATCAGTCAGGTGTAGGACCAGTGTGAGCAGCAGCAGGATGATTTGGGACCTCATGGCCTGAGCTTTTCTGGTCTGGTGGCCTCTGTGTAACTGGAGGAGATGATTCACTTCTCTAGAAACCCTCAAGACAATGAGGAGTGAGAACTGGGGTGAGTCACCAGTATCTAGGCAGGAGGACCAGACTCAGGTTGTGAAAGAGGAAGGTGGCTGGGGAGATGGGGACTCTCGGACAGTAACCTTCTAGCCCCTTCCTCAGCCCTGGTTGCTGAGCCCTGAGGGCCACACCTGGCACCTGGGACTCTGCCCGCCCCCTCCTGTCCTGCACCAGAACCTTGTCACACCCTGTCCCTGAGTGGGGGCCAGGGGTGGAGCCAGCGATTTTCAAGCATTTTTGTTTCAGGATCTCTACCGTTTCACCAATTAGCAAGGACCCCAGTATAATTTTAGGAAGTTATAGCTGTGGGGAGGACGAGGTCATGTGAAAAAAGAGTCAATTCAAAAGCAAAGAGCACATTTAGCATCGTATGAGGAGACACAGGAGTAACAAATAGTGAGTCAGTTACAAAGAAAAACACGCTCTCCCTGAGATTCGGGAAGGTCATGGGAGATGGGGACATCTGACTTTCTAAAAAGTCTTGTTGAATGTGGGCTTTAAGAAAAAAAAATTGTAATAAATTAGAAACAAAAATCAGCAAGCAACTATAAACCAGAGACATGCTAACATTCTACGGCAGTGGAAAGGGGAACAGAATCTAAACTGGGGCAGGAAAAGCGCACGGAACTATGGTGATGGCACATGGATGACCTGGTGGTGGGAAGTCCATGGGGATTACAGTGACTGTACATTATAGCACATAAATTCCACATTATACATACACATATACATCTAATCAGAATAAAACATCTCTTCCTAAAATTTTTAATATATTTTTAAATATATTTTTTAATATATTTTCCATTTGCAGCAACATGGATGGAGCTGGAAGGAATCATGCTTAGTGAAATAAGCCAAAAAGAAAAAGAAAAGTACTAGATGGTTTCACTCATAGGAGTGTAAGGTATTAGGGGTAAAAGGTAATAAAGTAAAAACTAAAATTTTCCTAAATTTTAAAAAGCAAGTTGGGTGGTGGCCTCAGGCTCAGCACAGAGCTGAAGGGGGATGCCCATATCTGCTCTGGGTGGGGGTGCGGGGAACCCTCAGACCCCCGGCCCCACTTCCAAAGAGTAGAGGAGGTAACACTACCCAATTCATTACATGAGGCCAATATTATCCAGATACCACAATAGACAAAGTTAACACAAGAAAAGCATAAGGCTATTCAAGATATTTAGTGAGGAGCTGACCTAGAGGAGGGGTCACTGTGGATCCCTCCCCACAACTCTGTCCTACAGCACACTGAGGGACACTGAGTGTCCTTGACACTCTCTGGGGCGGACTGTTCAGGCCTCCTGCCCTGGGTCCTCACCCCTATTACTCTTTGTCAGTACCAGTTCCCCAGTCACCCCAACAGGCACAAAGGGAGCAGTGTGCAGTCCAGCCTTGACACCTGCTATAAACCGACAATGAAGACACAGAAGAACATATCAGAAATGCTGAAGCAAACAGCCCTGAGAGACACCTCAGTCCAGCAGACCTGTGGTCCTGCCCCAAGAGGAGTTCAGTGAACAGTTACAACAATACACTGAAATTAAAAATAAAAGAATGGAACAGAAACAGAATAAAGACTGAAAAATTATGAGGCTAGTACAGTTAGAACCAATAAATTGAAAATATTGCATTAAATTAAAAAATATAATGCAAGACTTCAATAACAGACAAACACAAGTAATGAAGAAAATACCCAAAAAGCACAGTATCAGAAAAAACACAAATAAAACAATTAGTGAAAAAAATTTTTTTATTTATATAACTATTTTTTATTTATATTAAATTTATTTATTTAACTATTTACATTATTATTCATTATATAACTATTTACATTATTATTCATTTCAAAACAATGTTTACTTCCCTCCTCCCCCACTTCACCCACCTGCATTCCCAGTCTTCTACATTTCTTCCTCCTTCAGATCCCTCTCTGTCTCCCTCCCTGTAGGACATCCTTCCCCTTAATAATTAGACCAGTTTGCATTCCCACAAGCAGTGCAGGAGAGTGCCTTTTTCTCCACATCCTCACCAACATTTGTTGTTGCTAATTGTTTGAAGATGTGCCATTCTGACTGGTGTGAGGTGGTATCTCATTGTGGTTTTGATTTGCATCTCTGATTATAAGAGTTGTTGAACATTTAGTGAAAAAGAATTTTAGTGAAATAGTGTAAGAACACTTTGGGATAACTTAAAGAGAAATAGCATCCATATAATGGCAGTCCCCAAAGGAAAAGAGAAAGACTAAGGTTTAGAACATTTATTTAAAGAAATAGTTGGTGAGAACATTCTCAATCTGGAAAATGGATGTTCTGAGGAAATAAGATGCACACACACTGAGAAACATAACAACTCTGTTGGAAACTAATGATGACAGAAAACTAACAACACTGAGAGTAAAACAAGGTAACCGGTAGAACTGTCAGAGGATTTCAGTAAGAAAAATTACAGCCAAAAGGGAATAGTAGGATATCCGTACTCAAAAGATAAAGATTTACAGCCTGGAACATAATAACATTCAAGACTTGACAAGAAAGAGCTTCAGTGCAAAGAAACAGCCCAATTTAGTAACAGCACCTGCACCTGAGAGAGGGGGAGGGGATGGAAATAAAGAAACAGAAGAGCAAATGCAGAAGCACCGGCTCCCTAAATCATGAACAGGTGGAGATGGAGACAGACGAGGAGGCTGGTCAGAGTGCAGAGACCAGAGGGGCCAACGGCCACACTAACACCCACCACAAACTAACCTCAACGGACCTAGCACAAGATCAACAGAAGTGAAACATGAGACATAGGAAATGAAACCTAAAGAAATCATAAGAGGAAGGTGCCAGCAAATGAAAAAACAAGAAAATTAAAAACACAAGCAGAAGTAAACAGGCAAAAGCACTTAATCTAACAGCCATCTTAAATGTGAGCAGCCAGAACACACCATTTGAAAGGCACAGGCTGGTTGAGTGGATTTCAAAACAAAGTACAACCATAGCTGCTGTCAGGAAACCATTTCACCACAGCGCTGAACACAAAGGAAAGGCAGTATTTCGAGTCTGCAAGGAAAAGATAACCATGAAAAGTCAGGAAATGTGGGCAGATCAAAAAGATGTAAGAAAACGACAGCCCTACATGAGGAGCCAACTAACAGGCCAAACAACACCACACAGACTCCGCCCGAGACAGCTGTGTGCACTTTTTTCAAGTGCACTGTGGCACATTTTCAATAATAGGCCATCTCCTGGGGCACACATCAACTGTCAACAAAAT